CTTACATGTTCCCATATTCAGATCAACATCTTTCCTTGGGGTTTCTTTAGCTCTCAAATAAGTGATCTACTTTTCTAAATTAGATTTTCTTCCAATACCCCCATTTGATGCTACGTGTCAGTGTTAAGTCTATGTGGTTTATTTGAGTTGGGTAAATGGGTAATCAAGGTCCGTATGCAACTGTACTTATAAAATTTGTCACAGGCGCATGCACGCGAACACAATTGTGCTTATAAATTTTGTCACAGGCACACCGCGCACGGATGTGCGCACACACATATCTATATGTATGTATGTACATACATACACATGCATGCTGCGTATGTACGTGTACATACATTGACATGTCTATTTATGTATGTACAGACATTTACACGCCTACGTATGTATAGACATACGTATACATGTGCATTATGCCTACATATATAAAACATATCCATATCTAGGTCTTTAAAGCTATCAATCTGCATATCCACTTGTTGTGACATTGCCTCATGTCCCTACATCTGAAGCATATATCAATATCTAGTGTAAAAGAATTGAACACTTGCAATAATTAAGATCTTAATGAAACTTACAAGCTACAAGAATAGAGTTTTGAACTCTCCCTCCGTCACATACTACCAAATATGAAATTGAGTTGCACAGGAAATTGATAGTTTGATTCACATTTGGTTCCATTTGATAATGAAGGATTGATGTTAGAATCTGATAGAGTGCGAAGCTTGTCACAGCTACAAGTATTAAGCTTTCTAATTGATGCTTCAGTAAGATTACAGATCAGCGCAATGGAGATATTGACTTATCCAACAAGGATCAACAATTTATCTACTGAAGTATATCTTTTGGAAAAATAAAACATGGGTTTCCATGTGATTACATTTAAAAATGATACATTGCTGCCATAATCTGCTGCAAATTTCAGAGCCAAGGTGGTCATTCCATTAGTCTATAGCTTTCTAATTGGCAGTTCTCTAAGGGAAAGATCAGCTCATTGCTTCATCATCTATATTTACCTATCCGATCTCTCACCAGACTTCCACGAATAACTTAACAATATTGTTTATTTAGTTATTAAAAATAGAAAAGAAAACAACTGATATGCTTCATCAGGCCAAGGAAACCAAGATCTAGCAACCAAATACTCTCATGATGCCAAGTGTCCTCCTAACTATACCGTTTCCACATAAAACAGCTATGATAACAGATTGGAGTCGACTAAAGCCACCAAACAAAATAAGGATCCAAGAAATCATCACAAGAATAGTCATAAAGAAAGGTGAAGTCAGAGGCTCACTATACTCGTCCTCGACAAGGTAGTTGAGGGTATTGCCGTCGCAGCTGAGGTGAATACAAAGAAGCTTTTGGAGACAATGATAGGTGATTCTCGAGAAGATAATTGTCCTCATTCTTAACAACAAATCCATTACCATTACCACCGATAACATCTTCCACTGTTTCAAACCCTACGGCCTTCTCCTCCTTCACCTCTTTACTCCTTTCTTCCTTTAAAGACATCAGCTCATCCTGCATAGACCCAATGCTTCCTTATTCATCTACTACATAAATGGAACTACACAAATAACTAAAAGAGTCAATATCAAATACAGTGTCTGTGATTGTTTTTTTGTCACATTCATGTACCTTCAGCCCCTGAAAGGAGTTGCTCATCCCTACCATCTCTGTTTCAAGTTTTGTATTTCTCTTCAGCAATCTTTCGTAATTCTCCTGTTTATTTGAAACCAAACACAAAAAATAAGCATGCAAAGCTTAAGGCATAATAGAGAAGTGCCTGTGTACCTTCATCCCCAAGAATGCACTATTCATCTTTTCCATCTCTATTTCTAGTTTTATATTCCTTTTCAGCAACTTCTCATAATTTTCCTGTGATTGACAAAAGCAACAACATGTAACATACTGAATGCAACATAATATTTTATTAAAGCTAAACGAGCAATCACAGGAATATTGACATCTCTGGTGATGGCAACCTATTAATTGCTGCATTACTTTTCTAGCTGGTCGGTGACACCAACTATTTTAAATGAGTGAACAATGACTATCATCACCTGAATAATAAACAATTGTATTATCAAGGTGTGTCCGCATCAAGACATTGAACCTTCTTGCCAGCACCCTCTTCCTCTTCTATCCAAATCCACTGGTTCCCTATCCTAAGGTGATGGGTCAAAGGCATGTAAATATCCTATTACTAATCCCCATTGCTTGGGAAGATGGCAAAGAAATCCTTATAGGAGCACAATATATTAAATTAATATCTACACCATTGCTTTTACTACACACTAGCATTATTGCACATGCAAATGCACACACAATAGATGCGAAAACTTAATCATCCCAAAGTTTACATAAAAGGGGCACTTACAGTAAAGTTTCATCAAGCTTTATAAGATATTTTTATGATAGTTTTTTCCATTTGACATGAGTTGTTTTAGGTTACTTTATTTGAAATTGGGTATAACATATATTTCAATTTGACTGATGACATGATTTAAATGAAAGAAAATAGGTACATCATAATTTGGTGGATTATTTTCAAAATGCCATTCTAAGAGCACCTTAAATAATGTTAATAAGAAGAGTATGTTCTATATTTTATCATCCAACGATTATATTTAATTATTTTAACCAAAGTATGTAGATATATTTCGACTTTCGATACTATTTGGATTAACAAAATATTGAAATTCCAATTGTTGCATTTATATTCATTCATATTTAATAATTTGTTTTAGAAAAAAACCTTATCACTTTATATTTATATCTCTTACAACACAAATTGTAATAGATATTGAATAAATGAGCTCTAATTATATATTCATGACATAGTTTGGATGTTCCAGAAAGAGAAAAGAAAAGGAAGTGAAAAATTACTTATACACCCCTCACATTTCTATTATGATGTAAAATGTCCTTCAAGCTTTTTGGTACCCCCACTAAGTTTTTAATATAATAGTATAGATTTGGCACTATTTTGCGAGTAACATTCGCGGACAGCTTACGAAGCGGGAGATCTTTCTAGAACACCAGGTGGATCAAAGGACAAGGTAGTAGTCTAAAATTATCTTTTCCCCCCTTTTTGCTTCCCTTAGCTTTCTGAATATTGGAGAAATACAAACCGCAATCAAGAATTAAAAATTAAACTTTTTTCATCTGTTTAGATAATTCAAAAACATTAAACATCAGGAAATAGGTAGAAATAAACCACCTTCCAGATGTTTTTCTCCAGCTCCTTCAAGGATCGCAATTCCTCCAGATCACTATTTCATACAAATCAAAGAAAAAGAAAATTAGCTTAACACAAATTCTAAAACAGTTCGTTAAACCTCTGAATCTTTTCAAGAAATGGCAAACTCGCATCAAAACTGAAGCAATATACACATTAGAAGGAACAAGAAATACTAAATAAGCTCCAGCCAAGGTCGCATCTAAATTCCTATCTCAATCTCCCATCCTCAAAAAAAAAAAAATGAGATAGCAAAAGTGAAATAGTACACGCATTAAAATGAACATGATATACCAAATAAGCTTTGCTATTGTTACATCTAAACTCCAATCTCAAACCCAACCCCAAAAAAAATATGAAGGCGAAGTAATGTACACATTAAAATGAAAAAGACATACCAAATAAGCTTAGCTAAGGTTGCATGATTGCATCCATACTATAATCTCAAAACCCACCCCACAAAAACTATGAACTAGCAATGTCCAAGTAATATAACAATTAAACAAAACAAAGAATATGAAAAAAAGCAAAGCTAAAGTTTCGTTTACCCTCCAAGTTCAACCCCCTCCCCCCAAATAAAATTAGGAATTAGCAAAAGCGATGTAATATATGAATTAAACAAAACCAAATATTAAATAAGCAAAGCTATGTAATATATAAATTAAACAAAACCAAATATTAAATAAGCTTATCTAAGGGCTTGTTTGGATTGAGGGGAATGAGGGTGAAGGGAAGTTAGGGGAACCATTCACCTCCATTCACCTTGTTTGAGAACACTTAGGAGGTGGAGTTAATTCACTCTAGTTCCCCTTGGTTCACCCCCTAATAGTATAAAATTTGTTACCCCCCAAATTGGGGTGTAACCGAGGGGAAGGGAACTCCCTTCCCTTCCCTTCCCTTCTCTCAGTTTCCCTTAACTTCCCTTCACCCCTTACAAATCCAAACAGGCCCTGGGTTGCATCAATACTCCAATATCCATCCCCGCCAACAAAAACTAGCAAGGAGGTTAATCAATCAACTATGTAATATGTGCTCACTATGACTGACCCCTTATTAAATGAATTTTAGTTTCACAGCTCATTGATGCTTGTTATTGCAATCTATGTCTTAATGCCCCTAGGAACTCAACAATGAAAGTATAGTAGCAATATACCTATTGAGAACACCAATTCTCTCTTTTAGCATATCAATCTCCTCCTTACACTCCGACCCACACCGGCAAACCTCCATCTCCCCCTTCCTCCTACTCTCCTCAACCTCCGCCGGCGGCTCAAGCCAATAATGCATAACCCCATCATTACTATAACCCCTCATGAACCTCTCCCCTCTATTCCCCACGACTTTTCCGGCCATATGCTTAAGCAAATGGTCCAACAATCCAGTATCCCCGATATGCTTCCTCGCTTCCTCCCGAAGATCTCTCCTCATGACTCGATTCCCGAGCTCAGCCATCTTCTCCCTCATCACCTCGAGTACTGATTCTCGGACCGCTCCGTACCTCTGCATCGTCCACCTCTCCTCGGCCGGTGCCGCCGCCTCGCTCGTGCTGCCCTCGGGCTTTTCCTTCTTTTTCTTCTGGCTTTCCCGCTTCTTAGTCGTTTTCTTCTTGCCTTTTTTGGAAGATTCGATTTCTTCGAAGATTCCCGCGGCCTCTTCTTGTTCCGCGGCAGCCGGAAGAGCGCGGCCGGAGGCGGCTCGGCTATGTTCTTCGCGCCTCCTCCTCCTTCAATCCTCCTCCTCCTCCTCCTCCTCCACTTCCACTTCCGATGAGGATTCGGTGAAGTTCTGGACGAAGTTGGGGCCGAAAACCCAGAACTTTTGCTGGTTATCGTCCTCGCTCGTCTGGAATCTCGGGACGACTCGCATCGCGATCAAGAGAATTAGGGTTTTGAGAGGAGGGAGGGGCTGGGGTTTAGAGAGAGAGGGGAGATTGCGATGGCTAGGGTTTTGGGTTTTTAGGCGGACGACAAAATTGGGGGAAATCGAAGCGATGAGAGAGAAAGAGGAGGGCGTGGAGGAAAATTATTATCATTTAAATAGGGGGTGAAATATATAATAAGCAGGTGAGTCCAACTTTTTCTGGAATTGCAATTACTACCTCGTACTTTTATTTGCAGGTGCAGGACTTTGCGCTCCTTCGAGATTTCCGAATTGCTCATAACTTGAAAAAGTCTACTTAAAGATTATCAAAAGGAAATAAGCCCGTCTTAAGATTTCAGAAATCATTAGTCGTATATATTTGTTTGGGTACCTAGTTATTCATCAATAATTTTAAAATATATACATATAACAAAAGGACAATATGTGCAACACCAAAAAATGTATAGTTTAGGGTAATTATTCCTTCCCTTTTTAAGATATGTATTTTGTTATATTTTAACATTGGTAAGCAATTGTTACATTGCACTTATATATTACTGAGTTTTTTTATGATGTTATATCATCCTTTATTAGAGATATATTATCATCGGTATGCTATTATTGCTTGTTGGAAATTCATATATTATTGCAGAGCTACATTGAAAATAATTATAAATAGTATTGAGTCTGTAAAATGAAAATGGGATATTAACCAGAAGTATTTTACTTGCAAAATTAGAATTGCTGTATTCCCAACCAAAACGTATATATTTGCAAACTACAACTGCAAATTTACCAAACAGAATAATGTACAAAGCTAGATGAATTTGTTAAACCAAGAAAATTCTGCAATGGAGAAGCCATGTATACCACACTAATGCATAGAATCACCCCCACATTGACTTCACAACGTGCAAAAATTCAATTACAGAAAAAAAAAATCCAAAAAATCCAGAAATAATCTATAAAACTCATGAATATATGCAACCCATTATTAGGACTCATACATATCAATAAAACAAGTACCCCCTTAAAATACATCCCTGGATAATTCAACAAAATTTCAGTGGTTGTTTCCTCTCATAACTATAATTATACATCTCTTCACCGCAACTACTGAATAATTCTCAATTACTCTTCCTGTTACATTGAAAAAGAAGGGAAATTCTTCTCCCACCTTTTTTTGTAATGAATGAAGTTTATACAAATACATAAAATTACCACGATATTGCTATCTCTTGCATCGTTTAGATGGAACGGTGTTAGTAATATTAACCGTTATGGGTTATGGGTCTCCGATAACTTCACACCTTACAGAGATCATGGCCAGACTCCCTTCAGCATTGGATCACTACAGCCCTCGTGAAATAGTAAGAACTTAAGAGAAATTGTTTTAATCGCTTGTGATAAACTCTATGTCATCCTCTGCTATGTACATCTTGCCTCTGTTGGCATTGATTTTCTTCTGGCTCGGGTTTGGTTGGCCGCGCTGCAAGGGGGAGAAAAGAAAACAAAGAAATACTTAAATAACAGTGATAAAGTATGTGTCCCAAAATTTTGGGGTCAGCTCTACGAATCATAGTCTTCCATTCAATTTTAATAAGCATCTTTTTGTTACGTCAATCATTATCATATCCTTCTTAATTGCTTTCAATCAAATTTCTTTTAGGCCAATCTCTATTGGTTTCCTTAGTAAATATGAAAATAATGGTCCAAAGATCACCTTTCGAAGTACAAAGGATAGATAAAGGTAAGCCACATCCCATTCATCCTGGGATAAAGTGCCTGCAAAATTAGAATGTTTTTAAGATTTGAATCATTTGATGCACACACAAATAGAACAGACAACTGTATTGTCCTTTAAAAGGGCATACTTTGATCATTTCTACCATCCCCAAGGGCACCAAGCCTCCTCATGAGCTCAGTGAATTCAGGCTTTTTCAAGTACTCCTCCACGAACTCGTGAGAGTTCTTCACAAAAACAAGCTCCAGATCATACTGCAAAGCAGAAGGAATTTAGGTCTCTTCAATTTGAGTTCAGAGAAGCATAACCATTGAGTCTTGCAAAATGAAACTGGTTATAGCCAAGGTAGGCAGAAAAGGTAGAAATGCATCAAAACAGTGAAGGAAAAAAAGGGAAAATTTTAAGAACTTAAATGCAAATTATTTGCTAGTTTCTTGCAAGAAAAGAAGATCTATAATTTTTTTAGTGAATGCCATTGAATAAATGACTTCGGTATAATTTCAGCATATGATGCTAGAGTTCCAGTATATGAATTCTTTTCCAAATTATACATTCATTCTATTCAACAATACTTTTCAGTAGTATAACTATTCAGAGTTCTACATTTATTTGTTCATGAAATAAGGTACATGTAGTCATCATGAGCAAAAAGTTCAGGGTTATTGAACTTTGCAATAACTGGGCATTAACTTGCATATAAAAGATATCGAGATGAAAGTCAACAGACTCCTAGTCATTTGTATATAATGGAATAGTATTATTTGATATCCCTACAACTTGTAATTAAGATAAAAAGTTAAGAGAGCATGTATTCCTGGCTGAATTTTATTATGGAAAAAAGTATTATAAAACATCAAAATGGTCCAGACTACAGGGAATATAATCCAACCTCCTCTGCTAGGGATTTGAAAAGATGGAAGGGAACAATCCATTCAGGACAATCAACAGCATCCTGCATGACATTTGAAAAATTAAATCTTTATGACGGGAAGAAATTACTTCATTATATAGTTACACAGATTTTGCTAAACTGTATCATTTCCTGAAACCATTATGAATACAAAATCTTTTAAACCAGTCGAAGAATTAAAAAAAAAAGGATACAATAGAGAATATAAGAATTAAACAGTGACAGGTCAAAAAATCATAATTACTAAGAGAAATGGTTGATGGGAGTATGGAACAGCAGAATCATGTAAATAACATGTTACTTCTAGTTTTCTTTGAATGACATTACTGTCAAAAAAGAAGAAGCTACATTCAATTGGCAGTAAATATCTGAATTTTCATCCTTACATACCTCCAAGTGGAACTTATACTTAATGCCGAAAGGGCTGGATGCTCTGAATTTCTGAAATACAGAAAATAAAATAGAACGCTCACAATTGGTACTCATTCAAGAACAAGATTAACCAGTTGTAATTTATCATTAGAATCACAGATCAGATAGAGAAAAAGAATATGATTTTTTTACCTTCTGAGAATATTCTTCGTCAAACGAGATCCAATATACACTATTCCCAAAAGATAATCCTTCAGCTGCAGAAGGTAAATAAAGTTTTATTGAGGAAACAAACAGCCAACAAAGTGAGCATCTGTTATTACCAAGATAATAATCTACTAGGTGAGGGAAGAGAACACAGTTTGTCAAATAAATTTAGAGAAACAAAGTAAATATTAGATACCAGGCAAAATCTTATTCCTTAAAGATGTGTCAGTTAAAATTTGTCAGAAATTCAGTTGCTTTGCATGTATTTCTAGTTATGAAGAGCAGAAATCATGAATGAATAAATGCAACAGTCTCTTTACTAAGATTGAATATAGATACCTTTGGAAGAAATTTTGGTTTCTATTTCTCAGGCTTCACTGAGGTTTTAGTTTACCTGTAACTTATGTCCAAGTGTCCATAGCCATTTTCTTCACTGCTTTCTTTATTCCAAAGTTTTTCTCGGTTACATAACTTTTGAAATATTGGGGTATACTAAAAACAGGCATGCACATTATTAAGGCTGTGTTTGTATTTTATTTTCTCTAATTGCTTAACGTTTTTGTTTGTATAAACATAAAGTTTATATGAAATCCTTGGTTGATCTCTAAATATGGGAATGAACCATGAAATAGTTAAATTGAAATCATATTAAAGAAAAAGTCTCAGCACATGAAATATTAAGCATAAATAACCATGAACAAGTTAGTTCTTATTTGTATGAATTCCTTATTATCCAAAAAGAGGGGGTGGGGAAAGAAACTACTAAAGGAGAATACCTTCTCTAAGCCTTTTTACAATAACATTTGCATCAGGCATTGTCCCGATAAAGGTCCCACCAGGTCTAAGCAAGGCAGAAACATTAGCCAGTGCTCTCCTCGCACGTGCCTCAGTTGACCAGGAGTAATGCATTGCAAACTGTAAAAGCTTTTAATCAGCAAGAGTAATGCATTCAATCACCATAATTTTTAATCTAGGACCAATCTCTTACAGATATGGTTAAGTTCTAGGCTTGCTATCAACTACCTGATATAAACCTCCACTCGGGATAGGCAGCCAAAGGATATGACATTCACGAACTAATTAACATAAGATATCTGACTTCAGAACTATTTATCAGGAAATGTCAGGCTGATGGTAAAAATACTTTGAGAAACATCTAGCATCTCAATATTTTAATCTTTTCTGAATTCATAATGGAACAATTGATGACCGTGAAAGCTACTCTCAATGAGAATTTGATGAAAGATTCTGGAAACATAAAGTAACTTACCTGGCAACTACAAATATCATATGGTCCATCATTGCCCAAGTACTCATCTAAACGAGTCTGCACAGAAAAACTGAAAAGAATCACTTTTCCTTCGTATTTGTCAAACAAATTGAATGCAACAGAAATGACAAATTTATGATACAAATTTGAGTCAATACGAGAAAAGATGATAAGCCACCAATCAACATTTTAATATTTTGAACAATAAGTTGAGAAATATCCACTGTACCTCATAACAGTCTGCACATATGAGGCGTGCAGGAAAGCTGAACTTTTTCCTGCGTGATTGCTGGTTGTCATCACCGTTATAACGTGTCCTGCAGTCCCTTATCTGTAACAAAATTTTGAGAACAATATAAGAACTGGTTTGAACAAAACTAGCTGAAATAAGACAGCATAAATACTCCTAATGAGAGAAAACCTGGACATTCCAAGTTTTTACAAAATGGTGAATCTAAATCATCATGTGCATATGATGCTAGCAACTTTAAGGGAAATGGTCGTAAAAAAGAAACATGAGAGATGGTGCTAAATAAGGGTTGGCTTTTAAATATAGCATTAGTGATCTGCTGCAAACACATTTATAATGGTGATAGTGCACATGAACTACTGTAAATTGAGTCGTCAGAGGGAAGGGCTTCAAAATATTTTCAACAAAAAGAGATTTATCATTTCTTTGTTCAAAATAAATAATTCAGGTTTATTCATATCTGGACTGACTCGCTAGCTATATTGTATAAGTACTTCTATCATGAAGTCGTACCCATACCCGACACGTCCCTTAGCTGCACCCATACCCGACACTTCTTCGACACTCCTTGAACAAAGGCATAGACTTATTCAGACCTATACTCAATCACATAATACACGTTTTCATTTAGAACACTCATGATATACTTCTTGGACAAGGGCCAGGTTCATGTTAGTCCGTATTCAATCCTGAGCTAAAATTTCAATGGGTCTTTGCATATCCACTCCAGAACTATGTTTTCAGCCCACGAGTTCCAGCCATGTCCCCGTTTCCTATCTCTCACAAATTTGCGGTGTCTCATACCCGCACCCACACCCATCCTCATACCCATACCCATATCTGGCAACTTAGCTTGCTAGTAATAGATGAAAGATCCCATTATCAATGCACAGCACCAACAATTATGCAATCAATCTGCAGAAGGATAAAAGCATCTTCTGAGGAGCAAAATAGATACGCTGATAGTCAACTGCAGCAAACATCTATCAAAAAGTTTATGATCTAAACATGTGGTTTCGCGCAATAGAAGCATGGTAGACATGGCGACGCGTAGGATGACTTTCTCTTGGAAAATCACAAAGAAACAAAGGAGAAGGGAAAAAAAAGGTAGCCAAAACTACTTTCAGAATTAGATTTTGATTTACTAGAAATTCTCTTTTACCTTTTCTATAAAAGGTAAATTTTTAGTTGTGAACTTTAATTGATTTGGGAATTTTTATAGAATCTAAGAATGAGGAAAGTTTTTTATTTTATTATGAATTAAAATTTTTTTAACCAAGGATTAGTTTTCAAGTAGCCAAGTTTTCTAAGCGTATAAAAGATTACTTTTTCCTCGATAAAGGTATGATGAAGATGTTATGAAAGTTATGATTTCTAAATCCTGCATTATTTAATCTTGGATGTGAAACCCTACTTTTGAAGGCATGGGAGGTGTGAGGTATTGATTCAGGCATGACTTCATTCATTCAGGCCTGCAGCCAGAAATCTTAATTTTATTCTTCTTATTTCTTTTCTGTATTTCCTGTTTCGTCCCCCCATCACAAAAGTTAGCTTTTGCAGTAAATGTTAGAAACTCTAACATTTGGAAAACAAATATTTCAAACATAATGCCCTGCCACAAAATATGGAACAGGTTGAAACACGATGAACACCAATACACAACTATATAAACCTACAAACTCTGAAGTGTAGGAATATTCCTACTAACCACGAGAGTTCAGAGAAAGTACATATGTAAAGCAAAAGGTAAAGCTCCAACGGCACTTACTGAGCCCTCTGCAATATCAACACCAACATAGTATCCAATTTTTGCTTTGTCCCATTTGATCAAGTCACCACCCTGGATAGAGGCAATAAGTTTATTTGAAGAAAACTAAAGAAAAACAAAAGCAACTCGTTAAAACTATTCTACAAACCTTCCCACAAGCAAGATCTAGAACAGCATCACCTCGATGAGCATAAAGCTGAATAAGAACACTTTTGATCTGTTGAACAACAAGAATTACAGGTAAACTCATAAACGAACTTTACATTCAG